TTAATAAAATTACAAAGATTATATTTTTAATTAGAAGATTTTTAAAGATGATATACTTGATTAATAAGCAAAAAAAAATCATATCCCTAACTAAAAAAAGTTTAAAAAGTTATATCCTTATTTGTAAAAAATCTCACACAATCAATATTCAGATTGTGTTTGGGGCACTAGATTTTGGAAGGGACCACAATTAAATGACTTAGATTTCCTTTTCTTTACCCCAAGATATGTAAATTTAAATGCGATTTTGCTTTTGTAATTTTGCGTGCTCACATGGTCGCTAGAGAGTGAAAACATGGGGGATTTATTGGAGATTATGAAGTAAAAGATAGGCTAATCTTTCAGGGGTGTGTCGGTATATTTCTAGAAGGAAAATGAAAAAAGAAAAGAAAAAAAGTGTCAAAATGGGAAATATGCTTCAAAAGGTGAAATATTTATTGCTTTGTTTAAAAGAGGTGTGAATACAACGAATCTTCCAAAGAAAATGGATCCCATTAAAGGGGAATAGTACCCACCTATGTTATTTGTGCAAAGTTCTTCTCTCAATTCAATTTCTCATCTAATCTATTAGTACTAATAAATTGCGTTCCTCTGCCGTTCATATCTATATCGTGGGCCTCCTTGGTTATACATTGCACATTTTCCTTTTTTGTTTGAATTTTCGTCATGTCTTCCCATTCAAAGTTGGTTGCTTTGGGTTGGTTTTCTATCCTCTTGTATTCTTGTGAGTTAATTTAATATTTTCGGCCACTGAATAAGACACCAATGGGTGCAATGTGCATAGGGGTACTTTTCTAATCTATAACCCTCCACCCCCACATAGCGTGATGTTTGTTTTGAAAATATATATATATTAAGATAATCCGGGGAAGGTTGATTCTTTTCACCGAAGCGAATATTGAGAATTTGAGCATGCTTTCCTTTCCACCAAGGGATATTATTTTTTGATGGGTCAATTTCTCTCAAGCCACGTATGATGACGCAATTGAGGGATCAAAAGTTTGGACGTCATGCACCGATTCCAAAAAGAGGGAAATTAAGAGGAGGGGGGGTGGGGATTTAGCATTTAGGTGATTTGACTAAATCATATGCTTTCAAAGAAAGATGGGTTGGGTTGGGTTTGGATGAAGAAAGAGAGGAGACAGCTAATTTGCTTGTGGCAGGAGAGCTGTTGATGGCAATTAAGAAAGGGGAATTGTTTTTCTGAGAGGTGGGTGGGGGTGTTGATTGGAATCAATTAATAGTAGGGAGGCAAAGGTGATGAGAAATCAGATTACGGTCTGGAAAAGGTGCAGAGGGAATTTTAAGGACCGAGGGAGAGATCCGCAACGGAGACAGCATGTGTAAGCATATGGTGATGGGCGTTAGATGTGTGTTGAATGATTATGCTTATGCACATGGAGAGCGTTCATTACATATTGTAAATCACAATGGATTAAGGAAATCGAGGATACGGCTGTGTGTCCTTTTATGCCATGAAATGAAAATTAACGTGTAAATGAAGGGGAATTTCGCCAGAGAAAAGATTATAAGAATCACATTCCATACCTTCACCCTTTCTCCCCTGATAAGTTGAAATTAAGATATTAATGCCTCAAAGTAGGTTTTAATCATTCTCTTCATATTCTCATGCCAAAAGAAAACCGAAACAAGAGCATTAAATACTCATTCTTTGTAATATTCCTTCTCTAAGTTACCCAATTTTAGCGCAGAAGAACCATGAAATAACAATTCCATCGAACAAGGCAAGAAATATACAGAAAAAATATTAACATTACGAAACGAACATAATCTACAAACAGGAATAGATTCTGGTTTTCTATGGTTTGCTTCCGTCCACCAACTATTGTCAACCCTCTGCAGCATCACTTAAACCAGAATACCAGAATCTATAAACTACCAGCAACCTTTATAAATCAACAGCCTGCATTTGCATTCTAAAAGGTTTTCACTCGCTACCCTTTGATGATGGTTTGTCTATTTGGAAAAGAAGCAGATTCTAAACAGAACAAGAACTCAAATCTAAACAACAGCCAATTGAGGTGCAGATAATACCATCAGCACTTCAGCAAAGTTTTCAAAAGCGACACAAGCAAGACAAATATGTGATTTGATAGAGTAAGAGAGCAACATTTATCATTTAAATTATTTAGGATCAACACATCCTGGTTTCTTATGGTTTTCCTCTATTAGCTATCCACAACACTTGGTATGCACCACCAGTTACATTTAAAGCAAACTACCAGAATCTATAAGCCAACAGCAACCCTCCCAAATGCTGCAACTGAACCCTAGGGCCATAGTTGCTGTTGCTGCCTATTTCAGGATTATTGCACGCAAATAAGGTAAGATTAGGAGAAAGGCAACCATAAAAACCTCCCACAAGGTTTTAGCTATTCTCATCTCAATCCCACTTACTAGAAGAAAATAGGTACAAGCGACAGTGTACAGTTATTCCTAATTTTCTAGGATGTCATCTTTCCCCTTTTTATCTCATTTTTCATGCAATAGCCTATGAATAAGCCATTCCATTTAACCAAACAGAACCTAAAATTTTTCCCCGCTATCTTTTAACGAAAATAGTAGAAGTTTAATCCAAACAAAAGCCATAAATACCATAAGCACTTTCTTGAAGTCCCACAAAAGCTAAACAAGCAAGATAAGTATGCAATTTAGGGGACTAAGCAGTAAGCACACAACAATTTACAGCTTAACTGTTTTTAGGACCAATGAATTAGTAGATAGGATATCTACCAGAGCAGTGAGTATAACGGTAGATTACAAACTGGCTAAAGAAATGCCTTGCTAAGTGAATATAGTAAAGAGGTTTGGGGAAACATTTCTCCAGTTATAATTTACAATAGCTGTCTTATCCCTGCAGCAACGAAACTTTTTGGTTGGAAATATCAAAGAAAGGAAACATCATTGTTGCATGGATAAGACAAAGCTATCGTAAATTATGGCTGAAAAAGTAATTTCCTCAACCTCTCTACTGCCTCCAACAATGAAGATAAGGAAATGAAAACACGACACTAGATAAAAGGCCTAACAAAGGAAAGGCAATAAGGGAGAGGAAAAAATTTCTGAGTTCACCAAGCCTGGTGAAGCGACTGATTGAGACTTAGTTCTGAACCATCCAATGTATGTAAAACTTTCTCAATTGTTCCAGAGGAAAATGCCTAATAATAGGCACATAAAATAACCTGCATGGGAAAGGAAAAGATAAATTTACCAAAATCTATAAAATAATATCAGTTATAACTTTAAAACTATCAATGAGAAAAAAAAAAGAAAAAAAAAGGGGGAATCACCTTAAAAGGTGAAGTGAACCTGCCATTAAGTTTCTCTCTCCAATTCAAACATGAAGACATGTTTTGTTCATTTCATGTAGTATATAAAGTTTTAAGTCAATAATCTTGTGTTGTCTAGATATTTGAAACTCTTCTGCCAATCAATATATTAATTCAAGCAACTAGATTGATATCCCCTTTAGCTTTGAGCTTCATCACGAACAATCACTGCATAAGATCATCCAGCTCCATAAAATCTTCCTCTACTATGGATGACAAAAGCCCAGGAGTTAGCTGAGATGACATCTGGAGGGTTGGCTGAGATAACAGCTGCAGGTTTGGCAGAGATAACTCCTGGGGGGTTGGCTGAGATGACACCTGCATGGCAGTCATAAAACCAAAAAACTTAAACCAAATTCAAGAAGGAACATTTTATATTTAATCCAGATATGCTTTAACCACTATATTATGTTTGAAATCCTCTACATAGTATATTACCATAGGGATTGCACCTTAATCCTTCAATGATATAAATGGATTTTAATACCAAACAGTCACTGGAAAAGCACAACTGATAAAGCAAATTATGGGGAAAAAAAATTGAAAATTGATTGAGTTTCTTTGTAAACATGAAGAAATCAGCAAGACAAATTTATCCTTTCAGGGCAAGACAGCAAGAGAAGTTTGATGGGAAAAGTAATTGCCTATAATCTTGAACATATATCACAGTTAACTACATAGCTCATTGATAATGATAAGTTGATAACATGTATAACTGCTGCAAATAATTCATTCGAATTGAAAACAAAAGGTCAAATAAACAGATTGGGGAAGAAAGGGAATGTCAAGCTATAGGCATGTCTGGTCCAAAATATTATTAAAAAAAAATTGAAAAGGGTGGTAGTATAATGCCATTACAGGACAATATGGTAAAAAAGGTTACCAGCTCACGGCGCGGGATTCCTGAAAGCAACTCAAAACTGGAAGCAGAAACTGGCCCTGTTATTGCTGGATCATCTAGCTCACTATTGAGTTTTGAAGGATATCCCGATGCATCACTCTTCCCATCAATAGAGTTGTCAACCTGCACCTTAGCATCAACAAGGTTAGGTAGAAGAAGACCATCATGTTGAATGCCAATGTGACGTACTTCTGAAACACCTTCAGCAATAGTGAAAATCTTCTTTGAAAAACTGTTCCCAACACTAGATTGGACGAATACTCGGCATAAAACAAAAGAGGCCTGCACATAGACAAATTATAAGGTTTCAGGGCAACAATGCTATATAAATGTGTTTACACTCCCTATTCTCAATTCATCCACCCATCTAAGCATAGCTTGACTTGATTGGAGCATTGTTTATGCAGTCTCAGCATGCATAATTAATAAAAGACAAGCTTATTTGACACCAAGATGTTATCTCTAGACAGGTAGCAAAGGGAAATGCATTAAGAAGATTGATAACCATTAAGGTAGAATAGAACTTACTAAGATCCCTGGAAAATATTTGGAAGGAAATTTTCTTTAGCGACTACTCCATCTACAGAGGTAAAACATTCTTCAATTTGCAATGTAAGAACAACATGCAAATATTTTTTTACACATGAATTTGAACATATTACTTCCACATACGCATGCTTGACAAATTGAGGATGAACACAAAATGGCCTGGTCACAACAACAGATACAACCTTTTATATCATTCTACCAAAATCACAAGTTCTTGTAAAATAAAAATTAACTCACATAAAGTTACCAGGACACCAGACCAATGGCGATGATAAAACAGACACTGATGTTAGTTTTATAAATATTACAACAGAAAAGTGTTGTGCAGTCCGACTTGGTGTGGACTGCACAACTATAACCATTGATAAGGAAGGGCCCCCTAAATGGAGGGCCTTTCTCCCCAAAAATCAATGGTCAATTTATCACAATCCGACTTAGGTCGGACTGCAAAACAGCATTCTCATATTACAAACCCATCAAATTCATAACTATATTTACCCTATACGAATTCCCTAAAAGATAAACGTTACGGTCAGAATTCTAGTGTTACAGAGTTATGAGAATTTTACAAATAAAGAATAAAGACAAACTAAATTGTTAGTTTTTAGAAAAAAGAACCTTCAAATCTGCAATAACAAAGAAATCATCATTAGGTGCCATAATAAATCCCAACATCAAAAATGTAAAACAATTGAATTTCCATTAAAAACACGGTACAAGTGGAGTTACGGCATGAGTGAATTAATTATTTCCAAGCAACATGTGTATGGTATTTCAATTGTAAAGAAAAGAATAGGCAGCATTACCCTGAGATCCTGAAGGAGCGCATACTCATGCATTAACCACTCAGTCCTGAGTGCTGGTGATGGTCCCAAATAAAATCTAAATTCAGTTATAGTTCCCAAAACCTCCAGGCCTCCGTCATCAGTAACATCCACAGTCCCACCTACCCTCTTCCAATAGCCTGATTTTGCGATCCTCCGACCATCTTCACTCTCCTTGACTCCCTTAGCAGTATAGAACAACCAGTGCGTCTTCTGGTTTTCGTACCGGTAACACGTCATCTCCGGCAACTCCGATGGTTGGTAATCGTACAAGTCAAGGTCTTTGATGAAACCGAATCCCTCAGCGGGTTCGGTATTGCAGTTGTTTTTCCCGGAAAGGTAGTATTTGAGGAACTCTGCGGGCGAAGGGAAGAAAATTGCACCGGGAAGCATAGAATACGAGACGGGGATGGGATCCCCCATTGGGATCAATGGTAATTTTGAAAGAGAAGACGACTTAGGGTTTTTGGATTTTCAACAGTGCGATCGCAGGAGGGGAGAGTGAAGAGAGGGAGAGGTTTAGTGGGGTTTTTGTATAGAGGAGGGAGAAAGAGAGGCGTACTGATGAAGATTTGCCTGTATGACGAATGGGGATGAGTGTGTGTTGTTGCCAAAGACAAACGTTGGACTTATCTCTCTGGGGTCCGTTAATGAGGTGGCAATATCCCAAGCTTTAATTAGACAAGGCTGTCGTGTACTGTTTTATAGTTGTAATTATTTGAAGTGCTCTATTATATTATTATTATAAAAAATATTTTAATATTTGATAATTATATTTTAAAAAATTATTTATTATAAAATTATTTTATTGGATATATTATTATTTAAAACTAAATTAATTAATAATTTAATATATAATAGACAAAATAAAAAATCATGAAGTCTTAACATGTCAAAATTTTCATTAAATTATTAATCACGTTGGTCTCAATTTGAGATACATGTGATAAACAGTTTGATGAATATTTTATCTTAATATGTCAA